AAGATAGACTACCCATATACACATTCCAATCCTAAGAAACCAGTTTCTATTCATTCACTGAGTTTTCTCTCTCTTTTGAAAATCATATGGATAAATTAGATATACATTAAAAATAGCCATGAACATTTTAAAATTAATGATAAATTTTCTAATTTAAAATCCTGCATTTTAAACTTCTTCTTCAGAGGAAGTAGCTCTGTAATTCTCACTTCATATTTTTCTACTTTATTGTCAAGTCATAAACATATTTTCATGTTTATAATCATCCCCAAATATAATCATCTGCAGAACTTTCAAGCTAGAAAATGGATTTATTCTAAATATTTAACTGAACAGTTGAATATTCAACCAAAAGCATTTTGTTTTTTTCCTTTTGTTCAACTCTCAATTCCAAGAAAGAAATTGGTAGCAGGCATTAGTCGTTTTTACCTGCTATTACATATTGGCCCTTGTGCAGAAAATTTTAGGAACAGAGCCCTCCTTCCTTTTAGAATACCAACTTATCAGCTCTTTAGCCTGTTTGGTTCAAGCAAGATCCACCCTTGTGTGGGAGTTGAGTAGTGGCTCTACTAAAGTACTTGAATAGGCAAAGGAAATCATGTGACATGTCAGTCCAAGTGAGCCACGGTCTTGTGAAAGGTTACTACATCTCCTATACATGGAGCTAGTAGATTACAACATTGAATTCATGCCACAGACAAGGCCCTAGCTGGGATTTTAAACAAGAGAGAAGACCAAAGTTTGGACAAGGGGTGTGGGAAAGTAGGAAATTTTAAAAAAAGGTATTTTCTTCAAATCCTTGAATGTAGTGTGCTTGAGTTTTCAAATATTTGAACCAATAACTCCCCTTTGAGATGCATCCAATTTAAGTTAGCCTTCTATTACTAAAATATCTATGAAAACAGACATGACAACAATAAGAAAAGTCATCTACATGTACAAACATAGGTTTTAGGAATGTGTGCTAACTTTCTCTGTTAATATATATATTTTACCCAGAAATAAACTATGATAAAAACTAATTTTGGAGTTATGCCATTACGAGGCTAATTCAATGACTAGAAATAGCCTACGCAGTTAGCTGGGTTCCAAGGAATGACCCAAACTCAACCACACTACAGCTCTTTATTGTTGCCTGTGGGTACAAAGCTGTCCACCCTGCCTTCCATATCTGTAAGGACAGTTAATGACTATTTCAGCTTATTATAAATCCCAGGATAAGTTACAGTGTTTGAGACCCTGCTGTCTAGTTGGAAACATCTTTAAAATAATTATTTATTTTTGAAATTATAATATAATTATATAATTCCCCACTGTCTTTTCTCCTTCCAATCCTTCCCATGCATTCCCTCTTGCTCTCTCTCTAGTTTATGGTGTGTGTGTGTGTGTGTGTGTGTGTGTGTGTGTGTGTGTGTGTTCCTAAATATATACATACAATCTGCTCATACTGTCTAGTGTTACTTGTATGTATATGACCTCCGCACTGACCACTTGGTATTAGATATCTAGTTGGGGTTCTTCCCTGAGGAAGACCATCTTTTCCACTCTCAGTTTTGTTGATCTTATGCAAGGAGACAAGGGCTTAGGGAAGCTCTCTCATAAGCCTTTCTGAGAATTATTTCTCCACCTAGCCTCTCCCCTTGAAGAAAATTATTGCCTTTATTATTATTTCTAGGTGTCTAGGATCAAACCTAGGTCTCTGCATATACCAAGAAAGCTCTACACTAAGTCCAGATGACAATTTTAGTTCAGAGCAAAGGTTGGCCCAAGAAAAGCATCCAATTGGCTCCAGTTCAGAGTTTTACTGCAATGAGTTTGTGAGCTCTTACTCTTTTACACATGCCTTAAAAACATATGTGGAGGGTGGAGCGATTGCTCAGTGGTTAGGAGCACTTGTTGTTCTTCCAGGGGACCCAGGTTCAATTCCCAGCACGCATATAGCCATTCACAACCACCTGCAACTCTAGTTCCAGGAATCTAATACCCTCTTCTGGCCTCCTTGGGCACTAGGCATGCATGTGGTACACAGATATTCAGGCAGGCAAAACACAGATACCTTTAAAATTTTTTAAATGTGTCCTTAAAATGTATTATACATAAATACATCAACTTACATATAATTTGAATTTGTCTTGTGCCTATAAACTATGACGAAAGCCCTATAGGTATGGCCGTTTTGATGGATGAAGCACCTACCCAGGATTTATGTAAAGCTACCCTGGGTGCTCCGTGAGTGGACAGAGCTGGCCCAACTATGTTCAGCAAATCAGCAACATGACGGGAACATGCTCTCAGATCCTTGGACTCCTCCATATTTTCCTCCTTCAGACACACTTTCCTCTTTGACTTTCATATTCATAGCACTTGAGAACATCTATCAAATCCTAGGAAAACTACATGTTGATGATCAGAGATAGAAAGAGAATGTCAGGCTGGGACCAACTGGAAGGAAATTGATGAAGTTTGGTGAACCAGTCATTTTGGAGCCTGGTAAGTGACAAGTGAGAGGAGAGGTAGATAGGGCTGCACTAAACCAGGAAAAAAAGACACTGAACTCATAGCCTTGTTTTAACTGTTTTATTTACAATCATTCCTTCCCAGATATGAGAAGGACAGAGCCTTGATGGGAAAACATCTGTGGGGGAAAAAAATTCAGGATTTGGTTAGAAATTAAAATCATAGCCGTTTATTCTCATTATTGAAACAAATGATGAGAATAAATGACAAGAGTTCATCTTTTCCTATTTTACTAAACAATATGCAGTGTCAGTATTGTGAGGTACAGATTCTGAAAATCTGGACGACAGAAAAGTAGGTACTATACCCACATAATTAAGGCCAGTGAAGTTGAAATCAATGAAACTGTTGCTTGAAGTGTGTTGCTCATGACCAGCAACTGGGGTCATTCGGCATGCTCCCCTACTTAACTCAAACAAAACAAAAGCATCCAGAGAAAACAATGGCCAGGTTCTCACACGTCTTGATGTATCATGCAATGGCCAGGTTCTCACACCTCTTGATGTATCACACAGATCAAATTCAAGAACAAATCTCCCATAAAGAGCTTGGATGAGCACCATGGGATATCTAGTAAAACTGACTTGAGGAACCCCGAGGCGGCCCATTTAACTGACTAATTGTTAACTGGTAGGAGGTAGGTGATTACAGGCAGTAGAACTGGGCCCACCTTCTGCATGAATGAAGCCAGCACGTGGAAGTCATAGTCATATTTACATTTATAATGTACAGAATTTCTATATCATTGACCTCAAGCTGATAAACAAAATTACAAAGTTCATTTTGACTCCTCAGTCTTGGCCAATATCATCAGTCTTTCCATTGGATTTTCATATTAAAGAGGAAAAAAAGTGAGAGCAAGTGTTTATAGCCAAGAATAAATATAACAATAATAAAGGAAATAGAAAAAAAGGGGGGGAAGTAACCTTGGCGCAGTTCCTTGCATTTTTCCACCTTTCTCACATGGCTGGTTTCCAGGTTCTTCCATTTCAAAGAAAACACCTCATCGAAGAACACGTAATTGCACGCTGTTTCCAGTCTTTAAATGTGGGAAATGAAGCCTTCTCACATTCACATCATCAGCTGTGCCCCAGGAAACCTTCCATTCTTTCCAAATTAGTTTTTGTATCATTAAACCAATCAGCATTAGGTGCTTAGGATTATTTTCTGGAATAAACCCTGAATCATTACCTACATCATGTAAGTAATAAAGTCAAATAATGACATCATTAGATAGCATCTGAGCACTGACCCCAAATGACCAGGACCTAAAGGAAACGGGGACATTCCTAATAAGAATCAGCCAGAACGTCTAATGAAAATCAAACCTCAAGCCTAATAAGAAACAATGCACTTTGCCTCTCCTTCAAATTCACATTTGATTGGCTTTTCATGTGAATCGTTGTTTGAAGCAGAGCCCCCGCTGGCTAAAATTTTCAGAGCTAACTCTAAGATGAGTAACTCCCAGGTGGTTCTCTGGACCATTTGATCTGGGACAAGAACCACTCATTCATACAGTACGAATTTGTTGGACATTTACCATAACCATGTGTTCCAACTTGACTGTTTTTTATTCAACATTTATTGAGTCTCTAGCACAAATAAATGATGGTGCTAGGCTTGGAAAGCAAACAAGCACATAAGAAACATCACAGGGGTGTAGTCATTATATTCCAGGCATGATGCACTAATTATCAACAATGTAACACTCCATGAAGCTCTATGAGGAGGTGTACTTTTGCTGCATTTTATAAATATGGAAAACAAGATCCATACATATTAAGAAACTTACCCAAGGTCATACCACTAGGGAGAGGAAGAGATGAAAAAATATTCAACTTATCTCCATTTCAAATAAAGCACCACATTCAATTTAGTTCATTTGCAACTGCTGATAATCAATAGTTTTTTTAACCTACAAGATGACAATGACATCCCTGTGCCCCATCTCCAGAGGAGCTCAAGGGATGCTAGGGAAGATAAAACACAAAGCACAAAGGTCTACAATAAAGAATGATTCGAAGTAAGGTGGTGCTTCCCATCACCATGGAGGTGTGCCCAGGCAAATCCAGACACTCCTAGCCACCATTTAATGGCAGTAAATGTAAACCCAACTCACCTCACCTTCTCCATCAACCTGAAACCTATCCACAGGTAAAATAAATAAACATGTAATGTGCTTGTTGGTCTGGAACTGTGACTATAATCATTTCTGTTAAGACTCTCATAGGCAAGAAAAAAAAGAAATACAGAAGTATAGAAAAGCAAGAGATTTGCCAGTACTGGCCTTGCCACAGAAGGAGATACAAATAGCCTGGACAGAGACACAAGGTTGTAAGTCAAAGAAGGCCAAGGCCAAGTGCATATAGGATGCCAGATCATCTGCTTGCTTGCTTGCTTGCTTGCTTGCTTGCTTGCTTGCTTGGTTTTTGTTTGCAGGCAGGGGGTTGTTTTGATATTTTGTTGTTGTTTTGTTGTTGTAGTTTTGAGACAGAGTCTCACTATATATCCCTAGTTGGTCTAGAACTCTCTACATAGACCAAGACAGCTTTGAACTTGCAGTGATCCCTCTGCTTCCCGAATGCCAGGATTACAGGTGAGTGCAGTAGCTTCAGATAGACTTTTTGCAATATTCCTTTATACGAATTATTTCAAAACTGTATCATATGATTTATGCTCTACATAGTTCTTTGCAGATCTAAAAAAATATAATTTGAGCATGCATATGCTTTGAATATACATGTATTGTTTTTAAAAGACAGAATCTTTTCTATCTTCTGTTACACACTACAGGAACTCTAAACTCTTGAAGCATTTCCCATCTAATCGGCACCCTCTGTATGCTGCTAGTAACTCAACATGTGTGAGCCTTGAGGAAGGTCAGAAACTGATTTACCTCTGAGTATGTGGTAAATATGTAAAAGTTGATAGAACTGGTTGATTAACACCATTTGCACAGAGAATTAATCTTTTGCTTCCAAGACTATCAGTCCCTTGAAAGCAAGGACCACAGCTTTGAATTTCAATTTTTTCACAACTTAATGACACACAATAAAAATGAGGTTGCTTGGCTGCTTTATTTAGATCCCCAATAGTATTTGTAACTACTAAAGAAATAAACCCAGTGAAAAATTGTGTCTGTGGCCTTGATGTTTGTGACCACAGAAGGGCTGAGTGGCAGGGAACACTGTTTTGTCAGTCACCCATTACAAATATTCTACATAGTATTAGGCTTTGGCGGGGCCCAAACTGACCGATGTGAAATACTTCATCTCCTTGGACAACACATCCCGTAAATTATGGAAAGAAAATGGTATTTTATGAGAGCCAGGCAACCTCATTTTCTAGGCAGCACACTTCATTCATATTGCTGTTATTAATAAGTCACTTACAGGATTCATAACTGGTGCCACTGTGTGAAGGTACCCGTACATGGACAATCACGCCAGTGAAAAGTAGTATATCTTGGTTCTTTCCAGAGTGGTAACTTTATCAAAACCATGAGAGGTGTCCTTTGAACTTCACTCCAACACTGTGTAATTGGAGTCTACGTTATGTTCACCTGAGTTCCCAGAAGACATTTCAACTTTAAAACTTGCGAAGTCTCCTTTCCACTAATGAATTTCACCTACTAAAGTTAGCAATTCTTCCAAGACTTCTGCGTGTAAAAGTGCCTAGCTGTACTTTTGCGGCTCTCAGACTAGCCAGTCTCTTGCCTGAACTAACATATTTGATCTTTTTAAAATTAGAAGTGGAAGAATACACAGGATGATATGTCACTCTAAAGTGAGCTAGGGCAGATAATTAAGGATTAAAATCTAAATTATCACCTCTCTTGCAAGGTGCAGCCAAAAGCACGGATGCTTTCTCATCTCCTTAGAGAAATATAGATGCAATGTACCAGATAAGGCATTCTGCAGTTTTCATTATAAAGTTAATATTTATCTTACAGCATTGAGTTTATCTTACCAACATATCTCATTCAGAAAAAGAATTTCTTGATTTACCACATTAAAGTAAATATTGCTATGAGATACGTGTTAAATTTTTAATAAAATCCACCCTATCTTGTTTGGATCAAAGAGAGCTGGCTCAGCTGAGATGTAAGCAACACCAAATAAAAATACCTAATTCCAAACAAAACAGAGCACTGGCACACGTGTGGAGCAGCCTGTCCATGACAACTGCAGCGTTATATACCTGGACTCTGAAGCATGTCACAGCTTCAACTAAGCTTTGTGGAAGCCATGATCTCATATCTAAAATGCGAAATTACCTATACTTTTAATTCTCACCCACAGAATTTCGGTTCAGAACTACACAATCCTCATCCCTGAGCTGCACTTGCCCAAAAGGCACCAAAGTTAAACTTAATTCAGTGAGATTTACAAACACTGTCCTTTGCCTTGTGCGGATGCATTTTTAGTATGAAAGATTTATTAGCATGTTGTGTTTTCTCTATGCAAGATAGAGTTAGACATAAAAACCTAGTTTGTTCTTACTCATTCCCTATTCCTTAAGTTAGCAATAAAAAGCCCTATTGCTAGAGAGCAAAAGAAAGCTGATAGAGTGATCCTGATTCTCCTCCTTGCATTAAGGAGAGTGAGGAGTCAGCAAGCCAGAGGATGGATTGCCACATATTTACAAAGAGATTCTCTAGCAGTCTGTAGTTAAATCCCCCGGGGTCCTTTTTCCACTTGGGAATGAGCAGGAGAGAGGCAAAGACAAGACAAAAAAGACAGAAGACTGCCCCCAAATCTTTAGGTTCAGAAGGGATGAGTAGAGGTAAATCCTCAAAATCAGATCATATGAATCATACAGCTAATTGAAAGCATCATGGCCCCATGACCTGGCCGTCATCCTAATGATGGGAAATCTCCATGGCTGAAGGCCAGAGGTTATAGACTCCTAGCAGTTGAATCCCAGGTCTGGCCCAGCAGGCTGACCTTGAAGATGCTGCATGACCTTGCTTGTGCCTGGGTTTTCCTGTCTATAAAATAGAGACAATGATCAAGAGCTATCTTCTAGAGTTGATATTCGGATTCAATTAGTTAACAATTGTTGAATTCTATGGCAGAGTCAATAACAAAATACATGGTACTGTGTATATAGCTGTTGTATATGATGAAATATTGGTTTTGCCAGAATCTTTAATTTATATGACCAGAGAACTAAGATAGATTCAAGCCTTACTTTCTTCCCCAAGTTCATAGTTTGTCCTTCGTCCTATCCCCAACACATTCCTTTCTATTGCAACCAGGTAGCTTTTTTCCCCCTTAATAAACAGAAAATCTAACATTTAGTAAACAGTCTGTATGTGCCAGGCAATTATCTGTTAATTATCTCATTCCATTCTCATAAAAACCAGTGAACTGGGTGCTATTTTTATCCCCACTTGATAGGTGAAGAAATAAACGCATTGAAAGATTAGGTAAATTGTCCAAGTTAACACAGTTATTATGAAGCAAAACCGGTGTTGAAAGCCAGACAGTGTTGAGATTTGTTCCTTTGGGGGGGAAATACGTCATACTCTAAAAATATTCCTAATGAATTCAGATTTTAAAAATCTCATTCAAGTCTCCCTTCTCCAGCAGCTGAGCACAAGTTAACAGACTGATGACTGGACTACAGCCTATGCATCCATGAGACTGGCTGACTGGACTACAGCCTGTGCATCCATGAGACTGGCTGACTGTCACTTTAAGCCAGAGTTTGGAGATGGCTTCTTACAGAAAAAGCATGTAGTTAAAGCTGATTGATATAGCCTTTGTGTGTGCTACCAATGAAATCAAAATCAAATTTGAAAGTGCTTTAAGTTATGAAGTCAAAAGTGTTGAAAGCCTGTGCATTGTTTTGAGTCTACCCTCATGTGAGCATTCACATGTGTGGACTTTCGGTTGCTTGTTAAAAATGAAACAATGTAAGAGAGAGAGATAGAAGGCATAGAGTTATATGGCTGGAGAGCTGGGGTGTATCTGGAAGGAGATGAAGGAGAGGAAACCATGATCAGAGTGTATTATATTTAAAAAGGAAATCTACTTTCAATAAAATAAATAAACAAAACGTAACATAAAGCTTTGCAAAGAAAATCCTTTCCCCCTACTAGTTAATTTAATATTTAATTTAATGCCTAGTCTCATATTTCAAGCTAACATGGTATTATAATAAAGAATAAAAATGAAACTGCAAATCTTACAAAAGAATGGGGATTCCATGAAGTCAACAAAAGTATTGCTCAAATCCCACACGAAAACAGTGAGCGAAGCAGAGTTGAGCCAGTCAGCAACTGAAGAGGCAAAGCAGCATGAACAATGACAACAGAGTCTTCAGAGGTCAAATGTCAAAGAACTGTCCTTGCACAAATGGGAACACCTGTGAATCACTTGACAACAATTGTCTCTTTCATGGCCATGCCATCTCAAACAAGCTCAAGCAACAACCTCTTCTCTGGGGACCACAGGTTGACTATACCTGCAGCTGGGAGGAGGCAGATGAGCTCCTTTCTGGGCATGCAGTCGAAAATAAAATCTATGTTTGACTAGATGTAAGTGCAATCAAACATATTTGTGTAATTATTTTTTTAAGATAAGCCCACACACACACACACTCAAGTCTTCTTGGAGGAGATGGAGAAGCAATCACATTTTGGTCAGCATTTTTAAGTGGAGTCACTTAAAAGTCCTATTTCTCCAGAACCAGTTATGCTCAGATACTGAGGTAGGGCAGACTTCCTCTCTCGCATTCCTCTAAGAGCTTTCAATGGACCCATCTAAGTTATATAAATATTATAACAAGAGTAATTCTGCTATCTGGTGGCAAAACATATAAACAACAGGAGTAAAGAATTGAACTGAGCATCAAAGACTGAGGCTTATTCTTCTAAATTCTTATTACACTTCTGGAAATGGTTTCTTTTCTAATTTTAACAGAAAACAAATGTTGAAGAATTGCTGCTAACAAATAGGGGAAATAACAGAAAGTGAAAGGATAGGATGCTACTAGTTGTGGTGTGTTCAGTACTGTTGGGATATTACTGATCATGGTGTGTTCAATACTGAGATATTACTGATCATAGTGTGTCCAGTGCTGTTGGGATATTACTGATCATAGTGTGTTCAGTACTGTCAGGATATTACTGATCATGGTGTGTTCAATACTGAGATATTACTGATCATAGTGTGTTCAGTGCTGTTGGGATATTACTGATCATAGTGTGTTCAGTACTGTCAGGATATTACTGATCATGGTGTGTTCAATACTGAGATATTACTGATCATAGTGTGTCCAGTGCTGTTGGGATATTACTGATCATAGTGTGTTCAGTACTGTCAGGATATTACTGATCATGGTGTGTTCAATACTGAGATATTACTGATCATAGTGTGTTCAGTGCTGTCGGGATATTACTGATCATGGTGTGTTCAATACTGAGATATTACTGATCATAGTGTGTCTAATGCTGTTGGGATATTACTGATCATAGTGTGTTCAGTACTGTCAGGATATTACTGATCATAGTGTGTTCAATACTGAGATACTACTGATCATAGTGTGTTCAGTGCTGTTGGGGTATTACTGATCATAGTGTGTTCAATACTTTTGAGGACTCTACATTCTACTTAGAGAAAATATTTAGGTCACTAAGACCTTCTATCACCAATAAAGTACAACTTCCAAACACACTCCAGTTGTCACAAGGATAAACTGGGGATTTGGTACTGTAATATAAATTCTTCCTCTGAGACGGAATCAAACATAATGAGTTTCAGAGCAGAAAGAAATAGTAAGGGCCATCTAAACTGATTTCTCATTTTACAGGTGAAAAAAGAGCAATTTGGGATTAAGTGACTGGTGTAAGACCATTTAGCTTGTTAGAGATAAACAAAACCTCTAGAATCTGAGACTCAAATTGATGACCAACAGTTTTCCTTCCTTTCTCTTCACTGAAGAAAATAACGGCAGCGTTGTCACAGAGAAGTTGCATCAAAACTGTTCCCTTTAGAAGTTCTGCTCTCGGAAAAGCCTCAAGTGGCTGTGCCAACAGTACGTTTGACATTGTTCTCCAAACTCAGAAGCAACTTGGACCTTAAACCCAAAAGAGCACCTGGGTCGGCTCTCAGGAATTCAGCTCACGGATCTCATTCCTCTTTTCCTCCAGTAGCCAGGGAGCCATGGTACAAAAGAGCCTACACAATGGGCCTCAAAGGACGGGTGCCAGGCCAGCACCAGCTTCACCTGGGAACTTGTTGGAAATGTACCTTCTTGGGTTGGAGTCCACGTCTAAAAGACAAAAATCTCAGAACGGAGCCCCAAACTGGTTTAACAATCTGTTTGGGTGATTTGGGTGAACATTATAGTTTAAGAGCCATTAATCTATCCAATCAATGTACCAGCTAGCTAGATTATGAGAGGTTTTTTGCCATTTTTAGAAATGCCAACTTGCTTGGCTTGTACATTCTATGAATGAAGTTTTAAAGGACCTGTACAAGCCCTTTCTCACACTAATTGTTCCTATTTGCTAATGGCAGGGCATTCAAAATTGAAGGCGTTTTCACATTATTTTGATTGGTTTTACTTGATTGTCCAAAACAGTAAATTCTCCTACTGATAAAGAAATAATGATCATGAAAGAGAAATGTCCCCAGAACACAGAAGGCAACACAAGAATCATCTACATTTCCTTCTCTTTGTCCCTCTTTCTTTCTTCTCCATCTGTGATCCAGTCTCAGCCAAGCCACAGTCATCTTGTCAATCTACTGATGCTCTTCCCTTTAGTAAATGTTGTTTGCATGACTCCTCACCCTTGTGTTCCCACAACTGCCACATCACCTCCCTTCCCCCCAGATTTAAACTGTCATCATCTACAAGTTTTGGTAGCAAATCCAACTCTGATGTCACCTATCATCAAAAAATCAAGTGGTTATGTTGGGACAGTATGATACAGAAGAAGCAAAACTTAAGCCTGGGAACTTCAGGTGAATTATTTGCTACTAACTAGCTCTCTCAATGAAATAAAAGTGGTTATATTTTTCTATTATGCACATTTCTTACTTGAATCCAGCATTTTGGCCCTCAAAGTCATGTCAAACTTTGATTTTATTGTTGTATAGCTATTCTGCCTACATTAGGGTCACTAAAATATTTCCTGAGCCTGCCTTTTATATTTTCATCCCAGCTTTGTTGGGATTAGCCAGAATCCTAAAACTCTCAGTACATCTGAACTCTTCTTTGAGGTTCCCTTCAAGATCCTGGTCCCATGGTACAAACCAAACATCATTTATTACCATTTTTCCTGTATTTCAATACCTTTGCAAAGTTATATCTTCCCTTATCGCCTAGGACAAGTCGTATACTCAGGGCAGAGAGGAATTTTGTCCTTCTGGTCCTTACATTCCAGAGGAAGAGAGAGTCAGTACACAAAGTAAGTGATCACATGGCATGCATCTAACAACAAAAGTTGAAGAGAAAACCAAGCATGGATGGAGGAGATAGTGTAGAGGGAGCGGCCATGGAGCGTTCTGCAAAGAGAGACATTTTAATATCTCTTGAAGCTCATTCATCTCACCTCGATGTCACATATTTGTCTCACAACATTAAGTTCTTTGTCCCAGCTGATCTCTAAGGTTCCCTAAAAGCCAGCTGCTATTAGATGACTCAGAAAACATATGCTTTTCCATGCACCCTAGAATTTTCTAGAAGTTAACGGTCAACTTAGAAGTTTGTCTTTTCGTTTCCTCAGAATCAGTGATCTCCTGGATATCGAGAAACAACAAGTGGAACCCAGTGTGCACACAGAAGCAGGAAGGCCCGGGATCGCCACACCTGAGAGCGCTTTGTTTCCTAACACACGAAAACACCATGCAAGTCACTGTTAGAAATTTTGTTTTGCCCTTCGGTGCCCTTATCTGCTGGAAGAAAAATATTGGTGTTTATTATTATTATTATAGCTAGCTTCACAATCTAGTAAGAACTCAGCAATAAAATATAAAATGGCCACATGGGTAGAGGAGAAAAATTATGGGAGAAAAGCAGGATGACCCTTGAAAGCATCTTTTGCAAGGAATAGTATTCACCTTTTTGTTCCAGCCTGAACCAGGAAAGACATAATTTATTTACCCAGAGCACCTCACGTCAGATATAATGTCTGCATTTTTCAGGGGACATCTTTTTAATGCCATTTTATGGCTTGGTTCACACAAGAACAGTGAGTTCAAGTAATTTGGCCAAGGTCACATACCAAGAAAATCTAGGTTTGTCTGTTTTAAAACTATAGAATTTATTGTTTTCTTTTTCTTGTGGTCCAGAATCCATTGTTTCTGTCTTTATTTCTCTCCTAATTTATAGAAAAAACAAACAAACAAACAAAAAACTCTTAACATTTAACTACTTCTTCTGCATTTTGGTCACTGTACAGATTGCTTGACAGATAATGTAATTTGTCATTGTAAAATGCCCAGCAAAATGTGGTGTTTTTATCTGAAGGGGCAGACAATGAAATGTTGTACAGATAGTAGGTAAAACAAACAGTAACAACAATGTAACAACACTATACGGATTAAAAACTGTACTTTGAGGTAAAACTTAGTATTCTCACAAGCAAAGCCTGGGGAGTTACTCAGTTTAGTTTAGAGAAAACATCTAGTAACGAATCCGAAAGTTGAGACGTCACCTTGAACTAG